ACCAGCCGACAAATATTAACATTTATTATATTTTATGGTTAACTTTTTTTTTTTCTTTTCAAGACTGACCCTCACCTGCCTCCCCTGACCGCACGTCACTGTGGTGTATGTATGTGTTGGGCTCCCAAGCTGAAAAATGAAGGTTTGTATGTTTTTGCAGTTTTTTTCCCAAGTGTGTGTGTGTGTGTGTGTGTGTGTGTGTATTTTTATTCTGAAGTTAAATTTGGCTATATTGTGCTGGAGTTGCTTTTTGAAAACACAAGCAGACAAATCAGTGGATCAATAAACAGATTCGAAAACTCTAGATGTTGTAAAGTTGTAGTTTGGTAAAACGTTTTTCTCATTTAATTCAAATTGCAACATTTCTGCTATAGTTTCAAATGCTTCACATCAGCTACATTTTAATAAGATTCAATTATCAAGTGGTATATTGGAGATTTTTCTTTGGAGTGAAGTCCCACGTGGGTGTAATGAAACCTTTGGCCACCAGAGGGAGGCACCGTTTAAGGCTGGTTCTGTCAACCCCCATTTTTAGCAACGCGAGTTGTTGAAGTAAAACAAAGCGTATTTTATCAGTATTTAGTAGTCTGCCTAAGACTAACAAAATCAATATTTAAAAGATATGACATAATACATTTTTAATTAACAAACAATACTGGTAGATGTGATTATTGTGGTAGGCAGGAGACTAAATAGACCATTTAAGGACTGTCCAAGACACCATCAAGTAAGTAAATAAGTGGGCGTGGTTTAACGTCAGGTGTGCGTCATAGGTATGCGGTTCTTGGCGTCTTCACGGTAAAATGGTTGTTTAAAACAAGCTGTTCTTAAGTTTATATTTCAAAAAAAATGCGGCAACTTTGTCACAAATAACATTCAGAACAAGGGAGGAAGACCTTCAAATTCTGCAGTTACCTGCTCCTGCGCTTTTGTTCCAAAGTAGATAACGTGGACAAGCGTAACGCAGCTGCTAATTAGCCCCAAACAACAGGTGACTGTCCAGGAGCCTCTGTTTCCCGGCTTTGCATACAGGTCTGAGGAGAAGGACGTAGCCTACATGTGTGCCCCTGGTTGATGATGTCCTACAGGTTTTTGTCTCGGTGCAAATTGGATGGGATCAAACCTGGCCCCCTGCTGTCACAGGCTGAACTTTGTCGGTGAAGTCCTTGGACTGATAGGACCAGTGTATACTCACCAAAGGTAAGTTTTTTAAATTCTTTTTGGCCATGTTTTTGTTTTAGTTTAGGTATGAAATGAGTCACTAAACTTTATCATTTAGATTATCAG